TAATTCATATGGCTGCTCAAAATTCCATGCCAAGCTAAGCTAGTGAAGTGTTGCTGTTTGTTTTATTTTTGCCTTTCAAATTACAATGCACCTATACAAAAGGAAAGGGAATTTCAGACCCTGAGTACAACTCAGAGGAAGTAGACCTCCTTCACTGAACCAGAATTCATGTGAGCAACATGTAACATTGTCAATGCTGGCATCAGATATGAAATATGACACTAAATATTTAAACTTCAGTTTTCAAGCATAAAATACACACACATTGGTTTTGAAAAAACGTGTGCAGCTAGCAAACCACAGCCTTTATTTTTAGCACTACAATCTTTCTTGTGTTTGCAGAGAGTTGCGCATTAATCCATAATAGTCACAATCACACAGTCATGGTGCTTTAATTCCAGGAAGCACAGAATCTATACAGGGAGTATACACAGGGCCTGAGAGAGAAACATGGGAGACTCAATACAGCCTAATACAGGGGGCTCCTCTCCCCATTTTGGAAACAGAATGAACTGATTCTGCGGGACCTTAAGCTTGGGGGGGGGCAGGGCTGGTACAACTGTACCCCTATTTCCCCCTTCTCCCAACAAGAAAACAAAGAATATAAGCATTAGAGATGTGGCTGCTTGGGTGTTCTCACAGACTACAGTGCTACCAGTCTAGGCATGCAATACTCTAACCTGAGACCTGAGTTAACTCTTAAAAACCAATCCAGTTCCTAACAATGTCAGCAAAAACCTTTCCACTGAACTCAGTGTTAGCTGGTTTGAATAATGTTATTACAGATATGCATCTATATTACAGTTAAGCAAAGGATGGAGGACGGGATTCACCTCCAAGGAGGAATATTCTGCACTGGTCCAGTCCTGCAGGGAGCAGACCAGGAAAGCCAAGGCTGCAACTGAACTCCAACTAGCTTTGAGTATCAAGGACAATAAAAAGTCCTTTTTCAGATCTGTGGGGAGCCAGAGGAAAAGCAAGGGCAACACTGGACCCCTGCTAAACCAGATGGGACATCTGACAACTAACGCCCAGAAAAAAGCCAACCTATTGGCTTTTTAAAAGTCAACAGTAAGGGCGGCTAGGATCTGGAACCAACTTCCAAGGGAGGTGGTGCTGGCTCCTACCTTGGGGGTCTTTAAGAAGCGGCTTGATGCCTACCTGACTGGGGTCAATTGAGCCCAGTTTTTCCTCCTGCCCAGGCAGGGGGTTGGACAAGAAGATCTACAAGGTCCCTTCCGACCCTACTTCTATGATTCTATGATTCTATTAAATGGGTACTTTGCATCAGTCTTTCATCAGTCCCATGGGACACCCATGCTCACTACAGGGCAGGGTGATCCAGGTGAGGGTGAGCCCCTGTCCTCCATCAATGCTGACCTCGTGAAGGAACACCTTGAGAAGCTGGATACCTTCAAGTCAGCTGGCCCCGACAATCTACACCCCAGGGTACACAAGGAGCTGGCAAGCAATATAGCTAGCCCCTAGCATGGATGTTTGAATACTCCTGGCACTCTGGTGAAGTGCCCGAAGACTGGGTGAAGGTCAATGTGGTGCCTATCTTCAAGAAAGGGAGGAAAGTGGATCCGGCAAACTACAGGCCCACCAGCCTGACCTCTATCCCAGGGAAGGTCTTAGAAAAGTTTAGTAAAGAGGCCATCCTTAATGGACTGGCCAATGCCAACAACCTGAGGGAGAGCCAGCATGGGTTTGTTGCGGGTACGTCTTGCTTGACCAATCTCATTTCCTTTTATGACCAGGTGACCTATCACCTGGACAAGGGAGAAGAGATTGATGTCATATATCTTGACTTCAAAAAAGCCTTCGATCTGTTGTCCCATGATCACCTCTTGGCGAAACTGTCCAACTGTGGCCTTGGGTCCACCATGATCCGCTAGCTGGG